TACTGCATCAATTACTTTATTTCATTTGCTCTTAATTGTCCATAAAACCATGCTTGCGATTGCCTTTCAAAAGTAGACCAACTACTCCCTCTACTGAAAATAACTGACCACTACACTGGAGGAACAGAGATGTTTTTGAAACACATGTGGTTTTCAGAAGTAAAGCCGTTTAACATATTACACACGTTTTTCTCCTAAATTATATTCAAATCRTCACAAGAAAGATGGATAAGTTGTATTTTTAGGGTCTTACCAAAAAGATTAACAAACCTACCTATTTATTTAAATAAATACACACTTACACACCTCTTTCCAACCATAATGATTCTRTTATTCCAAAGACAGACACTTAAAAGTGCCSAAGATGAATATGCATGAAACATTTTCAAAACAGCAATACACTCCTAAATTTGAAACAGGGGAGGAACATAAAACAACATAGTATCTTTTATACTTCCCCTGTAGAGAGGAGTAGGAATATTTCTTCTTCTTTAATGGGAAACTTTTTGCAGAAGAAGCTTCCTTAGAAAATGTGAAAGTTAAACAGAAAATTCACATTAAATATAAACGTGGTGATTATAAAGTGGAAAAAAAAMCCCACAGATCTAGATGTTATCCATCCTTCTGTACAAATAAATTCCAGTCACTACATTTTCACATACTTGCCTTGACTACAGAATAAGAATGCATTTAGTTTACATATTTGAAATATGAGGAAGTATTATTTGAAGTATTCTATGTACGCAAAAGTTTTCCCTTGGTTTTCAAATGCTACAAGGAAAAAAAAAAATGTCATAGCTCATTAGCACTCTCAGAAGTTTTATCTATGATACTGGTTAGTGACAAATACAAGCTCAATGAGAAACTATCCATTTGCTTAGATAACAATGTCAAACGACTTAGCAATTGCGAGAGTACATACTGAGCAAAGATAAAGTGCCTATGCTGGATTAGCAAATTAACCATAATGTAGATCAGTAATCAAAGATCTTAGGACATTTTAATCTAGCAAAACACTTCAACTCACACCACTTGCTYGCTTTGGCGTCTGCATTCATGTTGATGATATCAAGAGATCTCAGCTGAGAAAGATAATGATTTCACCCCCAGCTCCTGTTTCCATATAGCAGGAACATAGAGAGTCAGAATCTCAGCTGAAGTCTTCGCAAAATGAAATTGATTAACTGAAATTGATTAAGGTAAAGAAAATAGATTTGAACAAATGTCCCAYGAAATGAGTAGCCTTCCCTACAAGAGAGAGAGATTTTACTCCACACCACAGAAAACTAACAACTTGGTCTTTTTCAACAGGTTACTTAGCCACAAAACCAACTTGATCAACKGGGAAAACTTTGCAGTTTACTCCAAAAAACCAAAAACAAACAAGCAAAAGATAATCCACACAAGAAACAGTCTCTTCTGTGAAGAAAATCCTTGGGAAAACCATTTCCAAGAGCAACATACTGCTGTAACATCCAGACAAGCATGCATTGCACTACCCCAAACAGAAACAGAAAAAAGTATCCAAAGAGAAAGTTGCACAATTTTTACTGGACAATCAGTAGGGTTTTTTTTCTTCTAAATAGTTTAGTTACTAGTGAGCCAAAATAGTTAAGGCAGAATGCTTATTACAGAATGTTTCTAAAAGCATTACTCTTCAGATACATCATCAGATACATTGAGATGTATTATTACCCTTTAAACCAAGAACTTTTAGATTATCTGGCAAATACATGAATTTCACAAAATTACAGTAAAAGAAGAATCAATGCTACATTTTAATTCAGGTAAGCTAATACTGTTTTACTGAGAGTTCATGCAGTTTCTGATCCTGATGATCAACACGCACATGTGACTTTAATAATCAGGTAAGATGAATCCCAGGCTCATTCTGCTGCRATATTATAGTACTTGAAGGAGTTGGCTTTCCAAGAGAGAGGAAAACTGAAATAAAATATGCTACTGTGGCCAGAAGTCTGAAGGATTCATCTCTTCCTCACTCACTTTTAAAACACATCCTCTACTCAACATTAGAGATTACCAGCATTTCTTTTAAATGAAAGCCATGAAACTCTTCTTACCTTAATGACAAATTTGCTCGATCCCATGATAGCTCAATGTAAACTGCTCCTATAAAAACAGGAATTAAAAATGCTCAGCACTTGAAAGAACTAAAGAACTCAGATCTCTATGAGAAGGCCAAATGACAAGAATTTTTTTTTTCATATTATATATATATATATGAAAAAATATATATATATAAGGGGAGAGACTTAGATGATTTTGTCAATACTTTGAAAAGCATTTAATAAAGGAAAAAGGAAAGACCAAAACACCAAATTCCCAGAGTTGTTTATAAATGTGTATGTGTGTGCATATATATATGTGTRTATATAAATATATAYACACACAMWATATATATGCACACACACTTATAATACTTGCTCTATTCAAAAGTCCTCAAACATTTCTTTCTCAGTGAAGCTCAGCTCTTCCTCCCTCATGGGATTACCATCCTCACTAAGCTAGGTAGCCTACAAATATCTACTTAAAAATGGAAATTAATACAAGAACTAAAAATCAGTGTTTCCACTATGTTCTGAAAAGCTCAAAAGTATGAAATTCCTACATAATGTATCACATTAGCTACACAGTAATAGCAAGTAGAAAGCAATACAAAACAAATCAGGTTTTCAAATAACAGAAACACAGACAAAACCTGGGATGCTGTGCCATGCTTTCTGCCATATGAAAGAGTGTTTTTCTTTGTGCACAACAGTCCCAAAAACTTCAAGGTTAATGCTTTCAACTTTACTGATAACAGTGCCCAAAAACACAAAATAGGGACCAGTGGTCTGGACCACTTATAATATCCTATTATTTGCTCTCTTTCAATTCACACTGGTAGTAGTACTCCACAGAAGGAATGCAGCAGGACTGCTATAAGAATCTTAAGGAGAGAGAAAAGCAGTAATCCTTGAAACAGCAGCTGCTGAAATAAACTACTACAACCCTTACTGTTGGGTGACAAAAAAAATCTGTTTCCTGGAATATGGTATTTGTCAAACTGATTTAAACCTGTAAAGTAACTTGAAGATAAGCAAGGAAATAAGCAAGTAAACTAGAATAACATTTCCCAGAAAATTGTCATAATTAATTAAAAGGAAATTCTAGGTCTTTCAATTCTAAAATTTCTCATGACCTACCTATGGATGAAATAAAAATCTAGGATTAAACACCTAGATTCCCTTTAGTAAGGGTCAGACATGTTTCAAAAACGATGCAGTCTTTCCTTCCTAAATTAGAGGGTGAGTGGAATGGTGGAAAACCAGCAGGATTCAGAAAATAGGGCCTCTCTGAGAGTTAATGAGGGTTTTTTTGCTTTTTTCAAAAATCAGCTAGTCAACAGTATCTTACGTTTGCAAAGAAGCAACTTCCTGTGCTCAGAGCACCTGAAACTCACAGGGAATCCAAAACTGAAAACTCCAGGTCCACACACACTTCTGCGAAGTTATGGAAGTTTCTAACACTCTAGCAGCACTGCTGTGAACATTCTGCCCATTTCTGCGTGTCTTTACGAACAGGGAGAATTAGACACCTGTAAAAGGCAAATCCAGCCTCTCAAATGTTGACCAAGGAACTCCCTAAAGCAAGCCACTATTAACAAATTTTACAGGAGAGTCAAAAGTAAGCATCACAATATAAAACAGAATTTTTCTTTCCAAACCCCTCCGATCTTTGCCATCTGATTCAGGGCCTAGAATTCTTTATGGAGGCCACATATCTGTGAATATTCTTCCACTGAAACCACAGCCCTCATGCAGGAAATGCAGTAGCCCAAATACCTTTTCCCCTTTCAGCATTTGCCTGCTGAAGCCCTGGAAGCTCTTTTCCCACTAGTTCGTGTATTTCTTTCTTGTTGTTATCTTAACTCCCTCATTTGTAAGCTGCTTTGAAAGTTCAGCAACTTAGTATCAAAAATACACCTTCACCATTCAGATGCGRAGAAAATACAAAGGAGAAGCTCTGAGAAACAACGTGCCCCTTACAGAGAGGTGCCAGTTATTTTGTTTTTGGCAAATCCCAAATGTTCCAGGAAACTTTGCTTTTGTTGCTGTTATGTTCCTTTCTATATAGAAACTATAAATCAAAAATATATAGCATTTATTATTTTTATAAACTCCGCAACTATGCATAAAACACAAAAGCTTTACTACTGCTCGCTGAGGCACACCCATGAGTGCCCCAGAGTCACAGGTGAGGGGGATTCTCACAGCAAGTGCTGCAGGGTAACAAATACGATCATTTTTTCCCCTCCTTTCATAAATTATGAACACAAGAATGCAACAGGAGATATCCCTAGCAGCAACTACAGGAGTAGAGGAAGAACAGGTAAAGAAAAGTACAGGTAGGAGCAACAGTGAGAGCGAGGCCAGATAACTAGCAATGAAGGGGTTGTGATGACTAGAATTTTGCTTGGGACTTTGGTCAGGGCACACGGTCTACCTGCAGGCAGGCAAATGAGTGAGCGGTGCAGAGTGACCGCAGTGCGAATTAGGCTGCGAGGAAACACCGAAAAGGAAACCCAGGGTCAGCCCTGGCGGCCCCCCCGCCCCGGGAGGGGACGAGCGGGCAGCCTCCTACCATACTTACGCTGCCAACGCTCCTAACGGCTCATCTGCCCCCAACCAAGATGGCTGCCGCGCACCAGCTTCTACTCCCCTACCCAAAATGGCCACCAGGTGTAGCCCCAACGTTTGCCCGAAAGCAAAATGGCCGCCGACAAAACCGCGGCTCGTAGGCGGCGGTGGTTCTGTCTTCTGACGAAGGGCAAATGCCCTTGGCGGCCACGTGAGCCGGGMAGGCCAATGGCAAGCGAGAGGCGCCCACACCGCCCTTGGCCTCAGCCACTCCGGCGCAAGGGGAGGGGGCGGCGCGAAGAGGCCTCGCAGCCGTTGGGATTTAAGCGCGTCGGTTGCCGCGCGGCCGTTGGCCGGAGCGGTCGGCCCGCTGCCGCAGCGCGGTTGCTGTTGCGGGCCGCGCCGCGCGCCCTCCTGTCCTGCGGAGCCGAGGTGAGCGCCAGGAGGGCGGCGGGGCGCGCCGAGCCGCCCCTTCGTGCCGCGGCCGCCCTTGGGGCCGCCTGRGGTGAGGGGTTCCCTGCTCAAGCCGATGACCCGCGGCCCGCCCGCTCCCGCACAGGGCCCCGCTCCTACCCCTGGAGCGCGTTTGCCGGAGCCGTTTCTGGGCAGCACGAAGAGCACGGGCGGTGCGATCGCGATAGCGACGTGCGGGCAGACCCAGGAGCCCCCGAGAAGGCAGGGAGAGATGGAGAGCCGATGAGGACATCCGCTCCGCGGCGTGTGCCGCTGTAACTGCTAAAGGAAGTAGCTTTTTGAATGCAAAATCCGAGCCATACACTGCTACCTCCTCGTCCCACCCCTTCCATCCCTCCGTTCCCAGTAGGTACTTCTTAACAAAAACCTGTGCGGCGTAGAACTTGCATATCCCTACTTTTTAAATGGCGATTTTATTGCCTTTGAAGTGATACTGTAGTAACTCTAAAATTTATAAAGATAAATAGGAATGCTGCTCCTCAAATTAAACAATGCTTAAAGGTGCATATATAGGTATATATTTAAGTCTCTTTTTAAATTCATAAAGAAATGGCTTTTTAAGTCATTTTTATTTTATATTTATTTACTGTGCAGTTGCTGCACAGTAATTAACTAACACTCAGGTTTATCTGCTCATTTCTATTATAGAGGATCAAGGATTTTTTTTAGGACATATTTTACATAATGAATTATCTTTATCTAGGTAGATACCCGTTTCCAATGGGTCTTAAAACCTTCTGGAAGGACTACAAGGTTCTGATTGTTATGGGCACTGCCCTTGGGCTGGTGCACTGGGGGTGGTTTCACATCAAGTCCAGCCCTATATTCCAAGTGAAGACAGAGGAGGACTTTGTACCAGAACCTGGGATTGTGTCATACGTGATGCGAAATGAACACAAAAATAAAGAAAAGTAGCAGTAGTGCTGTGTGTTATGGGTAAGTTTTGCTTAGCTGTATTTGTGCCTTTGAGATAGTAGATAAGAGTCTGTTAAGCTGGAATTTCCAGGCAGAGGAGATCATCTTGCTTTGATTTTAATCTTCCAGACATATTCTCTTTTGAAACTTAACCCTGTGGTTGTATAGATCCCCAAAATATATCATCCACTTCTCAAAAAAACCCATTGTTAAATCCTGAGACAAGTTATGTTATTATGTGGCTTAAAGGTGYTTAAGAACATACAAAATGTGTCATCTTGACAATGGTCAGACGCTTGTAACTGACTTGAACCTGAAAGGGCAGCGTGCCTGACCGAAAGAGCCTAGAAAAAGCTCTGACTGCTTGTAGTAATATAGTCTGTATTGTTGCAGCAGTGGTAGCCATTGCTRCCTTAGAAAAGGCAAGATTAAGTGTTACGTAGTACAGAGACTTAAATACTGCAGACACTGCACATGAATTTAAATAAGTAATTTTATTTAAGTATCTTCAGTGCATTTTTTTGTGTTGTATTTTCATTTTTGGGAACAGTTACAAATGACCTTTGACTGTAAGCAGGTGCTTTAAGCTCTTGTCCCTTGTTGAACGGTATGTTATCATGGGGATTTGAATAGTTGTTTGTTTTTCTGTTGCACTTGTTTAAGTGTAGCTCTTCTCACTGCGTAGGGGATCATTAAGTTAGAGGGGGGATAAAAAGACAGAAAAAAAAAGATTATCTCACCATAATTCTAAAATTCTTAGGCACCAGCACTTGTCCCTTAAGATTTTTGTTTGGTTTATTCTATATTTAACTATTAAGGGTTAAAGATACTCAGGATCTCCTTAAATGTACCAACTAAGTGACATTTTACATACATATCCAGAATGTAATATGCATAACATGAACTATCAAAGATATTTGCGGTTGTACAATAAAGCTTTTCTTTACTGTTGCAAGCAATGGCCAGAATATAAGTTTACCATATCCTAGCATGCAACTTAATCATGCTGCACTTCATGCCTTAAAATGTGCTAAAATGATATATCATCATACTACAAGTCTAATTCAGTGTTTGACCAAATAATAAAATAATTATGTTTAGTGTTACACTTATTTCTTGGTGTTTCCAATAGTGGTGTTAGATTTGTTGTCATTTTTTATTTTGAAAAAGACATCACTTGTTTTTCTTCCTTCATCCTGAAATGCTGAATCTTAGAACTGTTACAGGAATATAGTGACACTTTAGTTGGTATTTTTATAAAGCAGATAGTATTTTTAAGCCATTGTTTTAGCAAGTTCAAATCCTTGCCGGTCATATGGAACAATATTTCTGCAGTGAAAATTACTAAATACCAAAAGATCAGATGGTTGCAACTAGTAAAAGATACTACTTCCTAATTAAAAAAAGGAAATGTTTTAGAGAGGTGACATATGCATATATGCTAGAATTTTTCAAGCAAGAAACACTTCTTCCAGGTGTAAGCAGTTTTAAGTCACTTGAACATTAAGATGCTTTGTTTCTAAAGTTGTTCCCTGCAAAGCACTGCTATATTTTTCAGATATTTTGTTCTACAGTATAAGAGTTCAGCAGCACTATAACCTTACATTTTCATACAATTCATTGCAGTTTATAGCGGCTTCCTGTTACAGACCTACCTACAGGTAACACAGTATACAAACAGAGGTCATAATAAAAGATATTAGTTGTCAGAAATACATAATTTGTGTACAAGCTGCTTGTATTAGATACCGTATTAGGTTTTTTCAATTAAATAGCATTGTAGCTTGCTATTTACTAGCCCCGTGAGACTGTTTTTCCTTAAAAATAGAATAACACTTCACATCATACAATATTGTTGCAAGATTGCTCTAATATCTTCATGTTATATTAATTTTAGGTATAACTAACTCTGAAGCGTCTCGTCTGTGGGTGCTGTGAAAAGACAAGGATGAAGACTAGGTGGAATAGGAAGAACTTTCTGCTTGTAGCAGGACTGTCACTTATAGGTGTCCATATTGGTAGCATGCTGGTAAACTTAGTTGCAAAAAAATCAGTCCATTCACATTCRGAAATTAAAAAAGATCGTCGTGAATGAAATAGCCTTCTGCTACAATTATATATTTGTCTCTCAATAATATTTAAACCAGGTTTTAAAAGTTTTCTGGTGAACAGCTAAATGAATGTAATTGTACTGTATTACACTTAAAATAGTAATGCTTGCCTGTAAAGAATAAAAATGTATCATTTTAAAAGTACTGTTTGAGATTCTGGTGAAAATGAAATCTGGTTCATTGGGCAGAATTACAATCTTGTTTTGAAAATGTCTCGTGTTGAAGCTAAAAAGCCTTCATTGTATATTAGTGAACCTTTATCTAAAGATATAGTTCATCGGTCACTGTCTGTGCTAAGTGGTATATTGAAGTCTTGCTATGGTCCTACTGGTAGGCTCAAACAGCTCCACAATGGTGTGGGAGGCTACGTTTGTACAACTTCACAGTCTTCAGCTGTGCTCCGTTGTCTTTCCGTCAGTCATCCAGTGTTAAAAGTTTTGACAGCCTCTGTACAGAATCACGTGTCCCGCTTCAGTGACTGTGGTTTGTTCACTGCCATTCTGTGCTGTAGCTTGATTGAAAACTTGAAAAGCATCAACATTTTACCKTGTACTGTTATTAAAATAAGCAAACATCTTTTGAGCTTATGTATTGACTACCTTCAATCTGAGGCCTGTGCTTGTCGAGTACCTGTGGATTTTAGCAATCTTGAGACTCTCTTTTGTTTGGTACGTAGCGTATTAGCAAGCAAACCTGCTTGCATGCTTAGAAAAACGGAGGTTGACCATCTCACTAGGCTGACTGTAAAGGCTTTTTTGCTTACTGTTCCATGTCATGTTGAAACTAATGCTGTTTTAGGAAAGTGTGTAATAGTGCCCATGAAGGGTAGAAGAGTTGCAGATTCTACAGTTTTTCCTGGACTATTGTTGGAAACAACAGAAAATCAATTTCCAAAACCATTATCTGTCAAAAGAACCAGCTCAGACGTGATCAAGGTAGCACTTTTTTGTGTATCAATGTCAGGAGACCTTTCTGATCTTGATGAAGGAGTTGTAATAGTCCATCATGGAATTTCTCTTGAGATGTCAGAACTGGATCAGCTACTTAATGTAGGAAAGCAGCTGGTCAATGACGGGATTGGCCTTATAGCCTGCCAGAAAGTTATCCATCCATCCCTGAAACAATATCTGAAAGAGAATCATGTTGTCACTGTAGACAGAGTTGGGCTGCCTATGATGGAGCCCCTGAGTCAAATGACAGGTAAGAAGTGAGTTTTAAATGATGAATATTCTTAGTATTTGTCTCATAATAAAACCCTACAAAATATGTAGTGAGTGGTATAGTGAGTGTGGTTGCAGGGTAAGAATTTTTGTGTTTATCTTCCCTGCAGAGGAAGAGTTGCCCTTCTCTTTTACTTTGAAAAACTTTTTTTAYGCTGACTAGCTGTAGTCATGAAATGAATAGTACTTGCTGCTGCAGGAATGATAGAAACAGATGGCAGATGTACATTATTTTGGGGCTGCATCTAATCAGAATAATAAAACTACTTTTGTCATGAACTGTAGCTGAATATATGAATTTAAATTYGTATATTTTATGTAAGAATTTTATAGCTGAATTTATATTTTATATTTGGCAAAAAACCAGCATGGCACTTTCTAAATATTTCTTCTATAAATGTGTGTGAACATGCCTTAAAGAACGCTTATTATATAGAAAAATTAAGAGGAAAAAATAAGTTTATACTTTGTGAAATGCAACAGGCAGCTATTCCTGTGATAGTAATACTTGCTGCTTTTGTTTTTGTTTATTTTTAATTGAACAGGTGCGCTGCCTATAGCCTCTATACATGATTTCTCTCCCAGTTGTTATGGCAGTTTGAAGGATATATGCACTGTGAGTTTTGCCCCAAAACGTTTTGTGCATTTAATTCCTAATGACACTCTTGTCTGCAGTTTGATGCTGTGTAACAGAAATGAAACCACATGGGATGAATTGAAGGTAGGCAAATTTTCCTGAAAATTTTCATTAAAAAAAACATACTTTCAGTGGAAAATAATGAAAGAGGATAATGAGCAGTATAAAYGAGCTCAGAAAAGAGGTTTTCAGTAGCTTAATGGAACTTAATTAGAATCTAAGTGTATAACTTAAAAAAAAAAAAAGGAATTCAAAATCTGCTTCTTTCTAGAATTATGAAGGCTTTGAAGTTTTCTTCTTTATGTAATGCCTCTGTCTTAAGCATGGAAGTCATTTAGAGACAGAAACTATTTTCACCTCATTTTGAGGTTAGTACCGGGGAAATATTTTCCTTGTTATTAMTTCCTCTGTGAGAGGATGAGGAAAAAATTGCCCAGTGCAAGGTCTGCAGCAGCATCTGCAACTGTAGTCCAGAACAGTATTGTGTCAAATAGTTCCTATAAAAGTGATGTTGTTACTGTTCAATTTTTTTGCAAAAGGAAATTTGAAAAATTTAATTAAAAAWTGTATATTTTCAATACAAAGTGTAGACAAGTAAATACAATTTCTCATTAAATAAACATGTTTYAGAAATCCCTCAACAGGTCTGTATACACTTAATATCATCTTGCAAAGCCTATTTCAAAATTTACTCAAAACTWTGTTTCAATGGTGCTTTTGTTATGTGAAAGTCAATTATGGTATCTGAAATGATGAATTCGTGTGGTTTTCAGCGTGCCTATGAAACTGCAGAGCATGTGTTACAGCTGACGCTCAAGGAACCTTTAGCACTGTTAGGAGGTGGCTGTACAGAAACTCACCTGGCTTCATATATCAGGCACAAGGTATGTAAGGCCTTGTGAGATGATTTGAGAGGAAACAAGAACTTAGTTCCTGTAGAATTATCATAGCAGATAAAACAATTGTTTTCAATGTATTTAATARATGTACTTTTTTCTAACAGTTAATATAAAAAAGCTTGAAATACACAGTGCTAATGATGTCCGTTTCAGGATTTCTCTCCTGTTAATTTTGTATTTGTTCTCAGTGTCACTCTAGGCATCCATGAATTACCAGAAGGCTTAATTTTTTTCAGTGTATTTAACTTGGTATAAAAGTATGTCTGATTTTTATATTATATTAATCATACAAAACTCAACTCTGGCTTGTCTGGAAGTCTTCACTGTTCAGAAAATGCACTGCATTAATAATTTTTTAATTTGATTGCTGTGAACCATCTGTGTAAAAATGCCAGCACTACTATGTGTTTGTTAGTACCTATTTCTGTAAGAGTTTTTGAATTTTCCATTGATTTTTGTTTTGTTTTTAGAGTCACGATCTGCCAGCTGGCAGTTTTAAAGCTATAGATTGTTCCGAGACGCAGTTCCAATTGGTTGCTGACGCCTTTTGCCACTCGCTGGAGTCTGTTGCTTCTTCTCTGAAACATGATGACGGAGACGTTTTTACAGACATGGTTTATGGACACTGTTGGCTTGTTCCGTCAGGTTTTTCTTCTGTCTCTAATTGGTCGGATTTAGTTTCAAAATGTGGTTGTGGAATTAACAATAACACTCAGAATCTCAATTGGAGGGTTTTGCAAAGCCAGTTTAGCGCTCCTGTTCTGCAGAGTTGTCCTAAAGAACCTCCGGTAAAAGCTGCTGACTTTCTTACCCTGGACTGTTTTGCTGCAAAATGTAGTGGCTTACAAGTAGCTGTGGAGACGGCCAATCTGATTTTAGATCTCTCATGCATAATTGAAGACCAAAATTAGTTCTGTTCTTATGTGAATTGTGTTGCACAGTAAGCTACTTTCTTGAAAGCAAGGTAATGTATTACATGTTAAGATACACTTAGGAGCAGTAAGAATGTAGACAATAGACAAATTTTAAATCAAACATTGTTGGCTGTTAATTACTTCTGTTTCTTAATTCTGATGCATCTTGTAGGCTTTTCAAATATATGTTTTTTTATTAGGAAGTACTGGGTGATTAGCTAAGTACACAGTGAATTGTGGTAACACATGACTTAATATTCCAAGTAGAATATTCAGACTGGTGAATGACACTTCAAAAATCAGTTTCTTGCATGCTGGCAGGATTATGCAAGTGTTGAATGCCTGTTAGCTTTGGTCCCTTCTGAGGAATCTGAAAAATATTACTGTGATGAGAAAACATATGTTATAGATTAGACTTCATGTAGCTTCAACAAAAGCTTTATGCATTCAAACAGGCTGTTGCAGCAAGATATTTATCACTGGTCATTTAATTTTCTAAGCAGAGTGAGTGAAGGCTACCTTAGCAAATATCTTGAGCCACTTCTCTTCAAATTTTGTTCTGAAGATCTTATCAGTATATACATTTCCTCTTTCTAAATTGCTGCAAGATTTTCCAGTCATATAGCTAACTTACTTAGCAAGATACTGAAATACAACCTCAAGATCCCTAAGGTAACAGTTACTGGAAGACTTGAAAAGAAATGGCAGACTAACTGGGAGGAGGACAGACTTTTGTGCAGGGGGGACCACATGGCAGTTTGTAACTAATGATGTTTCTATCATATTAAGCAAAGGTCTAAGTGAAGAATGTTCCACTTTGCATTCTGTTAACTCCTTGATTGTGCATAGCTTGTGGAACTTGCTTGCTTCTAATGAAGTAAGACTTGAAGCTGCTGTGTCCTTTTTCAGYCTTTAAATAAGGCTCTACAGTGTGTGATTGAAACCTACCTTTTTTGTTTCAGCTTGTTTGCAAGATGAAAAGGAATCTTACAGTTTCTTGCTTAAAATATTTTTCTTTAGCTCTTTTCTCCTCCTTGTTTTCAAGCACAAAAGGTCAAGTTGTTGATGCCCTTTCCCCAAAGCAGCTTACCGACTGGTCTGTGATTATTTGTTTCCTRGTCTCTGAAGTTTTTAATAAATGTACTGATTATAAATAGAAAAAAGTATTCTGTATAACAATTTTGAAATGTAATTAAAAATAGAACTTTTCTGATACTTTTACATAGTCTTTTAAGTTTTTTTTACACAATTATTTCATTTTTATCATTGCAAAAATGTGAAGCTATCTAGATTTTTTTCATCCCTTTAACTGAAGGGATTGTTTCAATACTAGGAGACATCAGTGGGGAATTTGTGAACAAAATATTACAAGCGTTAAGATGAAGATTGTTTCAAGTTACTTTAAAATGTTTAGATGTATTGATCCTCCCAGATCCCATGAAACATATTAAAACATGAAGAATTGTGGTGCTGAATACTTTACTTTAAAATACAGAAGCATCTTGGTGATACTTTAGCTAATGATGAGTCTCTAACACAGAATACCAAATTAGAGTGTTTTACTTTCCATAATAGCAGCTTGTCATGCAGTGCAAAATTGTTGAACTGAGTGAGTCTGGCTGTTAAATAGAAGAAAAAAAGGCAATATTTAAGTAGAAATGATTGTTAGTATCCACTTGGTACTTAAAGATAGTTCACATTTACTGCAAAACAGCTGAGTTGCCTCTGATTCTATTCTTTCCCATCCTCTCAGGTTTAAGAAAATCAGAATATTTAGGATATTATGAAAGCATCTGGAAAGCTTAGCAAATTGTAGCATATTATTTTCTAAAAAATAGCAAAAGAAAATTTAAACTTTTATAGATAGAGCAGATCTTTGATTTAATTTTTGATGAGTAGGTAAGAATTTATGGAGACCTGAAGCAAACCAAGATTGTGTTTTTTTAATAGCAATAATTTAGCTGCTCAATGTGACTTAAAGGAAGGATGAATGAGGAGCTAGCAATCTCTCAACTTTTCAAACAGTTTTTGGTTGTGCTACAGTTGTGTTCTTGTAACTTTGAACTGCTCACTTAGGTATCCAACTTCAGCATTTTTCTGAAATGGRAGTAAACAGAATTTTGACTTGAAATCTAAGAGCAGCATGAAAGTAACTTTGTTCCACTCCCATGTTTCATGATAGAATATTTCATGAGATGCAAGAACAATTTCTTCCCCRTGTCTTTGGATTCACAAAATGAAATATTTGTAAGTCCTTTGAGAAGCTATTGGTTTTATTCCCTTGTCTTTGAAGTTAAAGTCTATTCTTTCAGGAGAAGTTAGCATTACACAGTCATTGCTATAAGAGTAATGTGTTCTGAGCGTGACCTCAGTCATGCCTATTGCCTTCCACAGTTTACCCAAGCTTAYTAATTGTAAAGCATAAAAATTTGTGGGTGAGGATTTCTAAATAAGATCCAGATGTTAAAATGAAAAATTATTTGTTACGTGGAAGCAGAGAAGTAGATCATTTGGAGCAAACTTGAATCCTTGCTTGAAAGAACATAAGCATCACACTAAAGAAACTTTGGCCAAGATTTACATGGGCTCCTTGAAAACTAACCTGCTAGGAAAACTCCTCTGGGCTCCCTATGTTTGGAGGCAGGAGGCTTCCTCCGCTCCCCAGAGCTCCAGGGGCAGCATATTAGTGTAGTRCCAGTAACCTGCTTCGCTGCCTTATGTGGTCAGTGCACGTCCAGAGAAGTGTGAATTTTTAGCCCTTTGCAGGAGTGGTTGGACTTGAAATGCGAACAGTGTCAGACATCCAGAAATTCTTCCTGTACTTGGTCTGTCCTCTGGGTGTGCGCTCTGTGTGTGTATCCTCATATCCTGTTCATTGATGCAGATCCTCAGGGTAGAGATGGATTTACAAGCTCGGCTAACCTGACCCCTTTTATCAGTAGGGTAATGCAGGTTTTTTTGAAAAGCACTTGGGCGTTTCTATGCTAAACAACCATTACAACTTTTGCTCCCTTATTGTGGCCAAAACTGATAAGAAAAATACTGCTTGAAGTATCTCAAGTGCAGCAAAATATCTGCAAAAMAGAATTTAGCCTACCCCAGAACAGAACTTTTACTCGTTTTTCTCGTGCCCTTGGTGTGCTGTGCTGAGCAGCAGACGGTGGCATTTGTCACATTTTCAGCAGCATCACATGCAGTGACTCATAAGGACAATACTCTTCAATCTCAGAGAAATCAGTGTCTGTTTATGAGTAAGTCCATGTCATTCTTTAAACTGGATTTGCCTTCACTACTCTTCCCGAGACTGAGATGCAGAAACAGTTTTTATTACAAAAGAGATTGCTTCCAATCTTATAAAGCTTAAAATTTAAAAGCAAGCTTATAAACAGTGCAGGTGGGCTTTGTGAGAAGTCAGTAGCTAACCACATTATAATATATTTATTTCTAGAACTTGACTATCTTTAACCAGAGCTAATTACAAGCTATTTATACCTGATCCCTGGCAAAGAGCTATTGCATAGTACTAGTTAGCTTTATGGTCAGCAGCACTCCAGTCTTAACTTCACATTATGGAATACTGTCACACGTATCACTGATGACTCTGGATTTTCCAGATTAACTACTGGCATCTTCGTTATTTTTGGCTCAAACATTGTTAGATTTCTTCAAGTATACGCTAAATACTAGCTTCTCACTACTATAACACTATTACATATTGTTCTCTAAGCATTTGCTTGACAGCCTACTGCAACATAACAGCTGTTCCTTATCTCTACTGTTCTTACTTCATTTAATATGATTAAGTCTTTTGCAAACAGAGAAGCTAGACAACACCTGCTTAATCTGTAAAAACCATCAATAGTTACTCCAGTCTGTTATACCTGGTGACCACTGGGTAGAGCAAATAAGAGGATGAGGAAAAGCCAGTTCCACAATTTCTACCCATGCCTTGGCTGGAGGCTGAGTCACCATTGCTTTGGTGTGAGGCCAAGAGGATTCTCTGCTAATAAGCTGTCTACTCAAGAGTTACAAATGAAGAGATTTTTTCATGGAACAGTAGGGACTGTTGCAATTTTGGTGCCTGAATGACCTGGTGAGTTTGAGAGGCAGAAGTGAGAGTATCACTATTCCCTGATTTATTACTCTTTACTAATGTGTATCACTGGTACTAAGTTTCAATGGGGATAGTGTTAAGGTAGGGCTAGGAACAGAGAGCAGGGAGAGGTCTGAGAATCTGAAGCTTCTAAAGCTCAGTATTTACAGGACTCACTTATTGCAGGGAACTCCAGGACCTAAAGATCAATGGAAGTTGCCTAAAGCGACTTAGACACCCTAAAGCAGCTTAGAGCACCCTACACAGTTGGGAAGGGAGTAGAGTTTGGGATAGGACATGTACAACACAGACCTTGSTTTCCTGGGCAATCTGCAAATATCACAGAGAGAAATGAGTCTCACGTGACTGGTTCTGTGTTTCCCCATTGCTACAGGCATTGGTCTGTGGAGACTACTGGAGCCAAACACTAAGGAAGTGCCCTCTAGTTTCCCAATCTCGTCTGTCACTAGCGCGCTTTGGTCTGCTGGGAATGCTTTCCTGTAGCTGCAAGGAAGACAGGGACCTGCGGTAGGGTGTTGTTCCGATGCTGAGGAGGAAAAATGTAGCAGGTGATAGAAAAGGTATTAGAAAAGGAAAACACATGCAAAAGGGGGCAGAATATGATGGGTAGCAGCAGAAAAATGCATCTGATGAGGACAAAGCTGATAGGAAAAATGAATTGCAGAATCTGATAAAACCTTGTATGTTGGGCAAACACCTCAGAGGAAGCTTTGTGAGCGTG